CTCTGTCTCAAAAAAAAAAAAAAAAGACTCATTACTTAGGGAAGGTACAAAAGGGCCATTTCTTCTTCATATATTTTCTATAAACAGAAAATAATCAATAGCAAGAAGTTCTATTTTTTAACAGGAAATCAAATAAGTCACACTGAGATTAATATTTATATCCATTAAAGGTATGTATACGTGGTAAATACAGAACTGAATCTCTTGATATGTTAACTCTTGGAGTTCTGCTTTTTAAAGTATGGGAATTAAAAAGAGGAAAGAAAACAGAAACTTGGACAATGATCTTAAATATGTGGCCTATCTGGTATGTTTTTAGATAAAGATGATAAAACATAGCAAAAAGCTATTTATTATACCACTCACTCTAAATCATCATACATGCCCATTATATTGCCTTTAAACAACACTATTCCCTAAACATTAATTCCTAAGAAGTGCACCTTTTCCTTTACATTATCTTTTCCTTTCTGAATTGTGCAACTAAACTGGTAAATTCATAGACTTCTCCCTGTTATAAAGCCTTGAAAACCAAAACTATAAAGGGCAGCTACTAATATATTCACTACATTACTAAAATCCATGAATTTCAAACCAGTATCATTTTGGGATTCCCCAAGCTACAGCCTCAGAACCTTCAGTCAACCAACATGATTGATTGGGGGGGGGGGCGGCGTGAGGGTGACACTTTGTTGCCCTTGGTAGAGTGCCATGATATTGTAGCTCACAGCAACCTCAAACTCTTGGGCTCAAGCAATCCTCTTGCCTTAGCCTCCCGAGTTGCTAAGACTAGAGGTGCCCGCTGTTAACACTGTGCTACTTTTAGAGATGGGGGATTTTGCTCTTGCTCAGGCTAGTCCAAAACTCTGGAGCTCAAGCAATCCACCCAACATGATTGAGTTTTAAGAACCCAAAGAACTGTTAGAATCTGGTTAAAGGTTCACAGTTATTTCACCAAAAAACAAACTGGTTCTTATTCCTACAGTTTCCCTGGTGCCAATTTAAATGTGAGAGCTTTAGGTGGAACATCGTATCTTTTTAAATGTAAATTCAATTAGCTGTATGTAAATATCCCAAAGGCCATCATATACCAAAGATATTGGTGTTTAAGATATTTTGGCTTAATCACAACCAGTTACAGATTCCTTTGTTCCTTCTCCACTCCCACTGATTCACTTAACTAGTTAAAAAAAGAAACTAAAAAAAAAAAAAAAGACATTTTGGCTTATTACAATAGATTTACCCAAATTTCCAAGTCTTTTCTTTTTGAAAAATCTAAGTACTCACCACAAATAAAGCTCCTCCCGCTCCATTTTGCACAGCTGTCTTGTGCAAATTCCTCGTATGTCTTCCCTAAAATTTAAAATTTTAACAAAGTTCAGTAAATCACAGCCTTAAGAAATGTTTCATAGGGAAATACTCTAAGATTCATAATTTAAAGCAATAAGATTAACTTACAGAAGTAAAAGATCTCAAGGGATATAGTCTACTACTCTATACCCTGCCCATATCTATTTCCAGAGAGATATAAAAAATGAAGACTCAGAGGCAAGGCTATTTACCTACTTTAGGTCACAAACAAGGGTCAAAGGGAGAACCAGGACCACAATCCAGATGTGTTGAGTTGTGTATCCTTTCTACCACACCCTGGCTGCCAATGGCAATGTCGTTGTGGCCACCCAGCAGGAATAGGGAACCTGTGGCCTTTTGATTTCAAGATTCTTTTTTAATCATCAAAAGAGGCAAGAAAGCTTCATCTTTCTCTACTATACCCCTTTTAATAAAAGGATTTGTTCTATAATATTTGGATTCAGTCAAAAGGCTGCACTTGGAGGACCCATAAAGCCACATATCACCTTAAGGCCACAGGTTCCCCACTTTTTTTTTTTTTGAGACAGTCTCAAGCTGTGTAGAGGGCAGTAGCATCACAGCTCACAGCAACCTCCAACTCTTGGGGTCAAGTGATCCTCTTGCCTCAGTTTTTCTATCTTTAATAGAGACTGCTTTTCCTTAGGCTGGTCTCGAACTCCTAAGCTCAAGTAATCCACCCGCCTCGGACTCTCAGAGTACTGGGATTACAGGCATGAGCCACAGCGCCCAGCCTCCCCACTTCTTTATGAAGACCTTAAAAATGTTTTCATTCTATCCAATGCGTCATATATGCTATATAATTGAGCCAACTATATCCTCCTTTTCAATCCTGCATTAAATTAGTTCAGAAACTCCAGCTATAAAAGTAGTTGCAGAAAACTATTTGTGACGTATGTTCAATTGCTTTGGGAAAAATCTGATTACTCCCTCTGCTGCACTTCATTTTTCTTTGCTGTCTTGCTCTTACTCTGCCCACTCAAGCAATCAACTATCACTCTAGATTCCTCCCACTTCTGAGTTCTGCTAACCATAGATAAATGAGAGAACACTGAATTAAAACAAGCATGGACCTGGCAAAGAGTTGAGCAATTCAAAGAAGGCAAACAGAAAAAAGTAAAAGGAGGAATATAACACAATTATATATTTAACTTTTCCCTAGGTCCAAATATTATTTCAGTTGACGACGTATGTTTACATGAAACATTTGCTTCAATTAACAAGACAAGAACTAGATGTAGAGTAAGAGGCATAAGAACAAAAGATGGGAGTGTTAAATATTAGTTTCAGAATAACTGGGGAGGATGCAATTAGAGGGGGCTTCAATCATGTTCGCTTTTTTCTTTCTTAAGCAGTTGGTGGGTATATAAGTGTTATAATTCTTTATGTTTTTATATATAATTTTTTAAAACAAGAATGAAACATTTATATTCAAGGCGACAGTCTGATTTCTTCCAAATTGCTTCAGGATCAATCTGTGAATTAAACACAAGATTATATCTATATTCCTAATTTGTTGAAAACCTAGACTGAGACAAACATGAAAGCATGGCTGTAACTCCTGAGTAATACATAAGAACAATATCAGCATAAAACTTAACTGAAACTAAAATTTAGAAGATAGCTAATGTCATCATCTTAGCTGAGAAGATATTAAACAAAAAAACCAAAGAACAGTTTTTGAATAACATTAGTAAGTTATTTACTAAATCCTGAGAGAAAACAAATATTTCATAATAAAGGCAAAGGATTAATTTTAAGAGAGTAATCAGTCCTGTCTTTAACATTTTCTGTTGATTGACTTTTTATCCATTCCCACAGTTTGGTTTCTGGGCTCAGTTCTCACTCCTATGTCCTTTTCTCCATAAGCATATCCATTTTCATCATTAACTCTATTCCTAGTATTCTTAAACCCTATATATATTTGGTGACAAAAGGCTAACAGCCTGAAGAGATAGTAGACATATAAATACCAATGAAAAAATTGAGCAAATACCACGAACAAAAATTTCATAGAATTCAAATAGTTAAGCTTACTAGTAAGTAAGAACACAATTTAAAATAACTGGCAGCTGGCTTGGCACCCATAGCACAATTGTTGTGGTACCAGCCACATACACCGAGGCTGGCGAGTTCAAACCCAGGCCTGCTAAACAATGACAACTGCAACAAAAAATAGCTGAGCATTGCGGCGGGCGCTGCTTGGGAGGCTGAGGCAAGAGAATCACTTAAGCCCAAGAATTGGAGGTTGCTGTGAGCTATGATGCCATAGCACTCTACCAAGGGTGACATAGTGAAACTCTATCTCCCAAAAAAAAAAAAAAAAATTGCCAGCTATCAAATTAGCAAAGTTTTTTTTTTTAAAGATAACATTTAATTCTATTTAGTGTATGCAGAAATGGGTATGCTTATTATACATTAGGTAAAAATTCATTTACCTTTTTAGGAAAGCAAATTAGCTTGATGTATGGAGAGACTAAAAAAGTGTCCATCTTTTAAACCTAATAACTATACTTTTAGAAATTTGTCTTATAGTACAAAATGAGAATGAAGATTTACATAAAAATGTTGCTTCTGTGATGTTTACTGTAGCAAATATACAAGCAACCTAAAAGCTCAACATCGGGAGGTCTTTTTTTTTTTTTTTTGAGACAGAATCTCACTATGTCACCCTTTGGTAGAGTGCTGTAACATCACAGCTCACAGCAGCTTCAAATTCTTGGGCTTAAGCGATTCTCTTGCCTTAGCCTCCCAAGTAGCTGGGACTGTAGGCGCCTGCCACAACACCCAACTATTTTTTTTTTTTTGTAGTTGTCATTGTTTAGCAGGCCTGGGCTGGTTTGATCCCACCAGCCTCTGTGTATGTGGCTGGCACCCTAACTACTGAACTCCAAGAGCCACACTGGGAAAGTCTTATTACTGATAATTTCAACACTGAAATATTATTATGGCTAACAAAAATATTCCTAATTTTTTTTCCCCATATAGACATTTGGTCCACAATCAGAACTGGAAACTATCAGGGTTAAACAAAACAAATACAACAAAAATAGCATGAACTATCATTCTAATTATATTAAATTTAGACACTAAGGAAAAGACTGGAAGGCCAAAAACAATTAGAAGTGCGTATCTCTGTTCTTATAATGTTAACAAGATTATGAGGGACTCTTTTTTTATATTTATCTCTATTTTCCTTATTTCCTATTTAGCATAAAATAACAAACTAAAAGTAAAAAAAAAAATCTTACTTAAAATAAAATGTTCATTAAGTACAAAGGAAATTTATCACCTCTACTATTAAACACACTTCTTGTTCTAATCTCTGTATATCAAATTAAACATTACCAATCTATATATTAAAAATGCTTCTATTTTACATCAATATTTGATTCCTTGCTCATTAATCCAGGATGTGTCATGTATTTTCACTTAAAATAGAGCGTGAACCCTGGAAATTGTTCTTTAATCTATGTAGCTAAATATTGGAAGATCTATTTTGAGGCACTCTTATTGATCTGTAACTCTAGACATACACATGAGTTTCACACATTTCTACAAGTGTTTTAAAGTCTAAATTGTTGAAGATAAGCTGCTGACTGGGAAGATCAAGATAAAGTTAAGTTCTAGGAAAAAAACAGGACTTTCGGGGGGTTTTGATATTGAGGATTTGGATTTAAATTACCTGTTTGCTACTAACATGTGACTTTGCTCACAGTACTTAATTTTTAAAAGCCTCAATTCCTATACTTATAAGATAGGGATGTCTTTTGATTGGACTATTTTGAGACTTACATAATGAAGTTTCTCTGAAAGTACTATGTAACCTGTTAAAGCATTATCACCTGCTTAGCTTACACAGGATAAAACTTTTAGCAACTGAAAAACAAAGATTCAAACAACTGCATTTTTACAACTACACAGATTATTTTTAAAAGTGTGCTTTGTAGCTGACTTTATCGAAGAGTCACAGTCAGAACAGAAAAGATTACTGACAATTTCTTACATTTACACATACTTACTTTTTATTTGTATCCACATAGGCTTATAATGTTTCTGATAAAATTATTATAGATTTTAGATGGTTGAAAAATACCATCTACTTAAAGAAAAGTGGTAAAGAAGGAAGAAGTAGTGCTAGCAGAAAATTTTGTACGCGTCTCTGGTTTCTGCATCTCTTGTGAGCAGAGGCACTGATAGCTTCTGTTCCAGACCAACTTTTCAAGGATTTTTGTACAGTGTCTCCTACTGGTATAAAGGTTGAGTGGGTTTTCTTACAAACAAGGTTCCCCAACCTCAGGGCTTCCCAGCTGTGATGCTCTGCTCTGCATCACAGCTGGGCTACCCTATGTCACTCCCACGGGATCTGAGTGTCAAGGGGAACATGAACAGAATCTCATGCTGCCTTCTGTGTCATGAGTAACAGTCCTTTGTCTCTGACCCAGCAGTCTTCTGCTAACATCCATGAAATTGAGGCAAGTTAACTTGCTCGCTTATAAAAAGGGTAAAATCTCAGACCCTTCACAGTTCTGAAGTCCTTAAAATCTAGAAATAGTGTAGTTTCCATGTCCCACTGATTTTTTTTAATCAAAATATCTATATGAATATAAAGATAGTATAAAAGAAACCAATTAATAGTTCTGTCTCTAGGATCTGGGCAGGAAGGAAATTAACTCTTTACTGCAGTATGTAATACATGCAACACAAATTTTTATCATAATATTTATCCTTTTATCCCTAGTCTGTAATACATATCATTATATATTTACTATAATATATATATTCTTGCTTATTTTTGAATTTTTTGCCGAGCATATACATATTTCATTTCAATTTTTAAAAACTATAATCTTTAGTCCTTTCCCTATCTTACTATCATGTCTTACTTATTTCAGACATTATGTCATGTCTGTGTGTTACCACACTTGATCTAGACAAAAGGCTGAGAAGCAATGTCTGTAAGAGTCTCCTAGCTAACCCCTTTC